CCTCAACTGTTCGGCCGTGGTAATCAGGTACTTTCTTAAACCAGGCCTCCAGGTACATGGTGAAAATTGGCATCAACGTCAAATCATTTGGCCGTAGGGTCTCAAGTACAATCGGCATCCGACCTCAACGTTCAACCATTCAGTCGTATCTTGACCTTACAGGTACTCTACAAAACTTAGCCTCACAGGTACTTAACCAACCATTCGGCCCCTAGTGTTCACCCTCAACCAGTCAGCCATACTACGAGGAATCTCGGCCGAAACGTATCAAAACCCAAGTTGATGAACGAAGTTTCACTCCTGTCAACTTGGTCGGGTGGTGAACGATGAGTTCTTCCCAGAGAACCACTGCCACCCGGTTACTACGGAAACCCAAGTTGATGAACGGAGTTTCACTCTTGTCGACTTGGTCGCGCGGTGAACGGGACACCCTGACGCACCAGTCGTTTCGAGGTCCACCATGTCGTTCGAGGCATTTCAAAAGATCAGCTTCTCGGCCTTCACAGCCCTTGATCGTTCGTCCTTTACAGGCCTCAACCGTTCAGCCTTGAAATGGCCTCAAGCTTTTGGCCTTCAGAGGCCTCAACTCCTCGGCCTCTGCTGCCTCAACTCCTCAGCCTCTGCTGCCTCAACCATTCGGCCTTCAGAGGCCTCAACATTCTCGACCACCACGGCCTCAACCGTTCGGCCTTCACAGGTCTCAACCGTTCGGCCTTCACAAGTCTCAACCGTTCGACCCCCTCAGCCTCAACTTATCGGCCTCCAAATGCCTCGACTTCTCGGCCTCCAAGGCTTGAACCGTTCGGCCTAACAAAGGCCTCAACATCTCGGCCTCCAAAGGCCTCAATCGTTCGACCTTCAAAAGGCCTCAACATCTTGACCTCTCGTGGCCTCAACCGTTCGACCTTCAAAAGGCCTCAACATCTTGACCTCCCGTGGCCTCAACCTCTCAGCCTTCAAAGGCCCCCAAATTCTTGGCCTCAACTTGACCTTCTCGGCCTCAACTNCACCCAAAACCCTAAACCTTAAACCCTAAAACCTAAACCGTAAACCATAAACCCCAAAACCGTAAACCGTAAACCCTAACTCCCAAACCCCACATGCCGAATGGTCCTTAGGTCGTACGGTCCTCCCTACCCCATAGGCCGAACGGTCCTTAGGCCGACCACCAGGCCAATCATTCTGGCCGACCACATGGTACAGACCAAACGGTTCTTCTTAGGCCAACACCAGGCCAATTACCCCGATCGACCACCCATATTGACCGACCATCCCGGCCGAATAGACCTTACGATTAGATTACAAACGATAATAGCTTATTAAAGCTCCTAATGGAGATTAAGGTATGATAGGGTCGTCATCAGGCCCACGAAAGGTAAAAGCCCATCACAACCATTATAAATAAAGGTCTCAGTTATGACTTCCCACCAGGTTGCATAATACATGTTCTACTTGCTATAATAACTGCTCGGTCACTTTATTGACTTGAGCGTCGGAGTGCCTTTGACAGGTGCCCCCCCGCCCGGCTTGGAGAACGTGGAGGGAGAACAAACACTACATCTGGGATAGGAAGAAGAGGAGAGAGCCTGATCGGTCTTCGCCAGCATGTCCAGTCCTCAACAAACAAGTAATTGTCCGGTCTTCCACAACTTGGAGCGCTTGAAGTATTTATGTGGCCCGTCCAATCTTCAACGTTCGTCCGGTCATCAAGGTTTGCCCTGTCTTCGGCCATGGAGTGTTTTGAGCGTAGGACGTCCCCAAACCTTATACCCGAAACATTTTGGCGTCCACCGTGAGGTCGAGCTAGTATTCCCCATTGTAGCCACAAGGAACCAGTGAGTGGTGCCTCAAAAGAACGTCAGCTCAATTTTTCGGCCTCTCACGCTCGGCCTTGACTACCCGATAACTCGGCCACTTGGCCTCGTTCGCATGGCCATTCGGTCTCCACTTTCCTACCGTTCGGCCTCCAAGGTAATTCCCCAAACCTACCCTCGCAACTACTTAGTCAAATCTGGCATTAGGTGTTCGGCCTCGGCTTCTCGGCCTTCCGTGACCCCTACCGTTCGGCCAAATCTGACCTTAGGGACTCGGCCTCCAAATGCCTCAACTGTTCGGCCGTGGTAATCAGGTACTTTCTTAAACCAGGCCTCCAGGTACATGGTGAAAATTGGCATCAACGTCAAATCATTTGGCCGTAGGGTCTCAAGTACAATCGGCATCCGACCTCAACGTTCAACCATTCAGTCGTATCTTGACCTTTCAGGTACTCTACAAAACTTAGCCTCACAGGTACTTAACCAACCATTCGGCCCCTAGTGTTCACCCTCAACCAGTCAGCCATACTACGAGGAATCTCGGCCGAAACGTATCAAAACCCAAGTTGATGAACGAAGTTTCACTCCTGTCAACTTGGTCGGGTGGTGAACGATGAGTTCTTCCCAGAGAACCACTGCCACCCGGTTACTACGGAAACCCAAGTTGATGAACGGAGTTTCACTCTTGTCGACTTGGTCGCGCGGTGAACGGGACACCCTGACGCACCAGTCGTTTCGAGGTCCACCATGTCGTTCGAGGCATTTCAAAAGATCAGCTTCTCGGCCTTCACAGCCCTTGATCGTTCGTCCTTTACAGGCCTCAACCGTTCAGCCTTGAAATGGCCTCAAGCTTTTGGCCTTCAGAGGCCTCAACTCCTCGGCCTCTGCTGCCTCAACTCCTCAGCCTCTGCTGCCTCAACCATTCGGCCTTCAGAGGCCTCAACATTCTCGACCACCACGGCCTCAACCGTTCGGCCTTCACAGGTCTCAACCGTTCGGCCTTCACAAGTCTCAACCGTTCGACCCCCTCAGCCTCAACTTATCGGCCTCCAAATGCCTCGACTTCTCGGCCTCCAAGGCTTGAACCGTTCGGCCTAACAAAGGCCTCAACATCTCGGCCTCCAAAGGCCTCAATCGTTCGACCTTCAAAAGGCCTCAACATCTTGACCTCTCGTGGCCACAACCGTTCGACCTTCAAAAGGCCTCAACATCTTGACCTCCCGTGGCCTCAACCTCTCAGCCTTCAAAGGCCCCCAAATTCTTGGCCTCAACTTGACCTTCTCGGCCTCAACTCCTCGGCCTTCAAAGGCCCCCAAATTCTCGGCCTCAACTCCTCGACCTTCAAAGGCCTCAACTCCTCGGCCTCTGCGGCCTCAACCGTTCAACTCTCAGAGGCCTCAACATTCTCGGCCACCACGGCCTCAACCGTTCGACCTTCACAAGTCTCGACCGTTCGGCCTTGCACAAACCTACACTTCTCGGCCTTGCACAAACCTCCACTTCTCGGTCTCCAAGGCTTGAACCGTTCGGCCTAACAAAGGCCTCAACTTCTCGGCTTCCAAAGGCCTCAACATCTCAACTGTTTGGCCCCCTCAGCCTCAACTTATCGGCCTCCAAAGGCCTCAACTTCTCGGCCTCCAAAGGCCTCAACCGTTCGGCCATCTCTTGGCCTCAACTTGGCCTCTAAAGGCCTCAACTCCTCCTCTCGGCCGTCCATGGCCTCACTTTTACTTAGCCAAATTCGGTAATCAACCATTCGGCCATACGACCTCTTCCATCCGGCCTCAGGTACTTAGCCAAAAGTGGCATCAAGTGTCCAGACTCACAAATACTCAGCCAACCATTCGGCCCCAACCGTTCGGCCCCAACCGTTCGGCCATTCGACCTCTCTACCATTCAGATACTTAACCAAATTAGCATCAGCTATACGACTATTCGGCCTTGTATATGGCCATTCGGCGTTCAGTACACGCCCATTCGGCCTCTACCCCATCCGTCCTCCTCGACCACCAATCTCTGGTCGTTCGACCTCTACTACTCGGCCTTCGATGGCCTCAAACTTCGCGGAATTAGGTATCGAGCGTTCAACCTCGACGGTTTGTCCTTAAGGCATGACTCGTTTCAGCCTTCTAGCCAGTCATCTTAATCAACGAACGACGAAGACAGAAAAAAGGCCAACAGAAGATCCCATCTGTAGCAGGAAGGCCATAAACATAACCCCTTCGCATAATAAAATCATGCTCGGGCTTGGGAGGCTTATGTACTGTACGGTCCTCCCTACCCCACATGCCGAACGGTCCTTAGGCCGTACGGTCCTCCCTACCCCATAGGTCGAACGATCCTTAGGCCGACCACCAGGCCAATCATTCTGGCCGACCACATGGTCCAGACCGAACGGCTATTCCTAAGACCGAACGGTTCTTCTTAGGCCAACACCAGGCCAATTACCCCAGCCGACCGACCGACCATCCCGGTCGAACAGACCGCATGATTAGATTACAAACGAGCTCATTAAAGCCCCTAATGGAGATTAAGGTATGATTGGGTTGTCATCAGGCCCACGAAAGGTAAAAGCCCATTACAACCAGTATAAATAAAGGTCTCAGGTATGACTTCCTACCAGGTTGCATAATACATGCTCTACTTGCTATAATAACAGCTCGGTCACTTTACTGACTTGAGCGTCGGAGTGCCTTTGACAGGTGTCCGCCCGCCCGGCTTGGAGAACGAGGAGGGAGAACAAACACTACAACTAGGATACGAAGAAGAGGAGAGAGTTCGTTCGGTCTTCGCCAGCACGTCCAGTCCTCAACAAACAGGTAACCGTTCGGTCTTTCACAGCTTGGAGCGCTTGAAGTATTTACGTGGCCTGTTCAGTCTTCAACCTACATCCGGTCATCAAGGTCTGCCCTGTCTTCGGCACAACATGGAGTGTTTTTAGCGTAGGACGTCCCAAACCTTATACCCGAAACAAATAATAAAGAAAACTTCAAACACATGATCTTTCACTTTCATCGACACCGAATAAAGTTTAGTATAAACTTTGATAATGACAAAAAAAAAAGGTATTAAAATAAACTACTGGAATCAGCCTGAAAAGTTTGGATAATATGCACGAGGTTAAACGTTCGATCCTCGTTCCCAGTGGGTAGTATAACTTCATCTATTTCTTTCTTTTGGTTAAAGAGAAGCAAAGTTTGTACAGGAGAAGTGAATCATGATGGTTAATTCAACAGATATTCAGTATATTATATAATGTTAATCCCATGGTAGAGTATCGAATCAACATTTACAGGACATACATAGCATTTGATCACCAATATTATAAAATTGTCATATTAAGCAACATTTGCCACTTCGGATGCTGCATTAACCAGCTGGGAAGTAGTAACAAACTATGTCTTATAATATTTACCTGAGCTAGCTTTCTATGTGACTGCATCACCGAAACCAACCAGAACTTCAGGCCAAAAGGTCTGCGTCAGATTCACACTCAAGTGCCCATAACTATTCTTACAGCACATATGGCTATGTTCGGGAACTTGAAATTGGTCTAGTTGAAGAAGGCTCGGCTAGGAAGCCATTAGGGATGTGGTGAGGTTGTTCTGCACCGGCTGCAGGAACCAACAAGTCAGAGAGTACTACCTGAAGAGAGGAAACTTTTTCTTTTAGCTGAGAATTCTGTTGGTGGATTTGTTGGTTACATTCAAGCAAGTAAATGATCTTTTGGGAGAGTTGATGGTTTAGTGTCTGCAGATGATCCACGTGATACTGCAGGACTTCAATCTGTTGTTTCTTTCGCATGCGAGACCTGCGAGCAGATTCTCTGTTGGAGAACATCCTTTTCTTCTTTCTGTCATCAAGGAGAGCCTTTGCTTCATCAGAATTGTTATTGTTGTTACTGTTTGATGATGTGTTGGGAGAGGGTTTATGGAGTGGGATTTTAATTGGGTCGTGGTTGTTGCTTGGAAGGTGCAATTGGGAGCAGAAAAATGGAAAGTGGTGTAAACTATGAGGTTGGTCCAGATGGGTCAAATTATGGCCTTCACCAGTTTCCATTGTTGAGGTCGGGATAGGTTTCTGGGTTGGAGAAGGATAGTGAAAGCACTGTGTTAAGGAAGCATAAGGGGCTACATGGAGTTCATCATCTTCATTGCATTCCATGTCTCAATTTTTCATTCGAGTATGAGAGACGGAACTAACTGACCTACAAGTTTTATAGATTGGAATTGGATAGTTAATGCAGATAGAACACGAGTAGGTATGGGAATTTCTTGACATTTGGCCGATGCTAGGAAAGTTAAGAATACATATTTGATCAAGATTAATAACAACTAATGGTCAGATAAGTTTTGTTCAGTAAAATGGTGGGATATAATTGACCTAGAGACAGAGATCTGAGAAGTAAAGTGGTTTAATGGCTGTGAAGGCAATGCCATTGACTTTTTGATTATAAGTATGCCTAAAAATTTATACAAAGCAGCAAATTTAGTGATTCTCTAACCTAGAAAAGAGCCAGAAAATTAAATTATGCCATATAAGCTCAGAACTTTATACCCCATTCAGTAAAATGCTGGCTAAGGACTCTATCTGCAGTTCTTTTTTCCTATTTTTGGTCTTGATTATATACTCTACCCAAGAAAAAATGGCAATGCGCGTTAAAATTTTACTTCATGTATTTCAACCTAAAATTAGGTTACAACAAATTAAATAAAAGTAGACAAATTCACTCTACCCAATAAACATTATAAATTTTTATACTTAAGGAGATTTGATAAATTGAAGACACTGTTTACAGTAGCATTTTAAGCTTTGGATTAAATAAAATGTCAAATGTTATATGAAAAGCAAATCAAATAATTGGGTTATCTGGCGTCTCCATGGAATCTTCCATCATAAACTATCACTTTTACTTAGTGGGCAATCACAATGAGATATTGCTTAAACGGATGACATTTATATGTCAAGGTTAACACGTATATAACAAGTATGATACTTGCAATGGCATAGGTATTCTCTATTCATTGCTTATATAGCGCAGATGCTAATTAAAAGCCTAATATATTGCCTATAATAGGTATTCTCGTGCATAGTAAATCACCAGCTTTTGATCCCATTGTTACATGGAGTTTCAAATCACTGACTTCCAAGCATATGTGGATTTATAACCTATTAACATCCATTTTACAAGTTTTTATCCAACTGAAATTTATTTAGATAGACATCTTAATAAACTATATAAATTAATTCTTTAATCTGAAGTTGAACATATTTATGCTAACCAACAGCTAACAGAAAAGAATAGGTTTGTTATTGCTCAATTTATTGAGATAAAACCTATTACTAATATCTTGCAGATGCAGCATTATGAAAAAAATAGCAGGAGATATTGAAGTGAATTTTCGCTCTTCATTGTCATTATTATTACTAATATTGAGTTCACGTGACAAATTATCTTATAATTTAATTTACATAGGCGTGCCGTGCGTGGCAATAATCACCTACACCGAAGTGAGAATGACCACTCCTCCTAACAAATGAATCTTCAACAAAAACACCCCTAAAAGAAAGGAATGAATACCTACGTTTCTACAACCAAAATAATATTTTCAATAACAAATATCATATTTCAAGTTACTCTCACAAGAAAATGCAACTTCGCATTCCTCATTATTCCATTTTCAGGCAACTGCACCAAATTTGAGTGCGTCCTAAACTGTAACTTCATTCAAGAAAGTCACAGAAAATACTAAATATATCATATAGTGGCTGAGGAATAGTGTAGAAATCTCACCCCGTCTTGTCCTTAACTATAAAAGGATAGCATAAAGCTGAACTCTAGTATTATAACCTCAGCACTCATACGAATCCTAGAAATCACACTCCAATCAGAAAAAGAGATCTAGGTAAGAATTTCTTCCTCAAGAACAAAGAAAGCCAGCAAGACTTCAGCTACATGAAGAATGGATAACAAACCAGAACAGGAAGCCAACTGTCAAAATCCAATGACTATTAATATATAAAACTAATTGGTAAACCATGAACAAATAATACCCATCCAACAGCCATTTTTCTCTCAAAACAAAGGCTCTTCGACTCCCTTCTATGATGAAAAACGATTTCACAGTCAAGGGAAGATTTTCAATCCTCTGGCATTTAAGTTTCATGACATGACTTCTGGCAGAAAAAAAAAATAGTTTCAGTAAAATACTCTTTTATTCATAATGATAACTATTTTAAACTATAATGAAAAATACTTTTATATGAATATTACCTAAAATTTAACTTATATAAAAAATTTAGATTATAATTGATTCAAAAATTAATGTACATTTATTTTGAAATTTTACAACTTCAACTAATTGATAAACTAGTTTAACCTAACTTTTTCAGTTTTAACTAGTTTTTTCAACTTTTAGCTAACTTTTTTGAAGAAAAACATTGAAATAATAAATTTTGAAGTCAGAATCCAAAATTAAACATATGAACTCCCTAAAATTTCCCCTGCCAAATACTTACTTTTGCATATGCAAAGTTTTTCCCAATTTGAACATCACCAACCAATCACAGCAAGTTATGACAATTAACATTATATTTCAATGTAATTTCAGATTTGAATGTGAATGCACACAATAATAAAGATATGAGAGGATAAAATCCGTCAAAAGGGTCTGCTTACACTTCCAGAGTTCCTCCAATCTGCCGGAGACTTCCTCCAATATGCCGGTGACTCAGAACGGCACAAGAGAGCTGAATCATCTAGAATAAGAACATGAAGAAATCACAACAACCACAAATTCTAGGCAAAAATGATTCATTTCTGTGATGTATACCAAAGTACAATTCGAAGACAAAATCCCTAAACTCAAATCTCCAAAATAAACAAGACCATCACATGCATTTTTTCAGGAGCAAAAAATCTATACTTGATCAAATACCCTACACGTGAAAATTCATCAAGTAAACATATCATCATGATCACATAACAGATGTATGTGCCTTCCTCTGCTCATAATCAGCATCATCAGTGGGAAACTCAAAGCGACAAACGGGACACGTGTTCCTTATCCCCAACCACGGCACAATGCAGTCCCCGTGATAACGATGCGAACACGGCAACTGCTTCACCTCTTCCCCAACCCCAAACTCCTCCTTACAGACCGCGCAAACCACGTTTCCGTTTGCCACGTCAGCAGCGCTCACGACCACCGCCGACAGTTTCCTCACGGCGGAGACGGACGCCGGAGGCTTCCCGACGAAGGCGACGTCGTTGAATTGGCTGAACATCTCGTACTCCGCGGCGTACACGAAGTCCTCGTTGTCTCCGAAATAAGGCTCGGAATTCGTTCCCTCCAAATTGGCGTTCAACAGAACCTGCCACCCCAAATTGTTGGTCTCCATTTCAAATTCTACTTCCTCCTCCGCCTCCTCTTCGATTCCAAAGGAGACGGAAACGGAGGTGTCGTCGAACATGCTCAGAACTTCTCTCTCGTCGACCACTTCCTCCCACTCGAAATCATCATAACTGTCTCTGTTGTCTTCCAATTGAAGCGCGTCCAAGCAGAGAGGGATGTTCGAAACGTCGTCGTTCACGTTGTACTCTTCCTCCGAGTGCGTGCAGATCCCGAGCACGCTGTCGATGTTTCCAGACTGGTAGAGCGATTCGTCGGAGTCAGATCCGACGGAGAGCCGACCTCCGACAAGTAAGTCGTCGGCGGCGGGGAAGCCAAGGTCGATGGCGTCTAGGGCGTCGATAACGCCGAAAAAGGCGTCGTTAGAGAGGGGATCGGTGAGTTGCGATTGTTCAACGCGCTGGTGAAAGAGATCCATTACGAAATTGACCTGGTTCTCGCGGTCGGTGAGGGAGAAACGGTTGGGGTGGAATTCGGGATCAAAATCAAAATCTAAGTCCCAATAAGGGAAAGGGATCAGAGTTTGGTCATCGTCGGGGTGGCGGGAGTGGCGGTGGTGGCGGGGGTAGGTGGTTACATCTGCCATTGTTGTTTGTTGGAGGAAGAAAGTGTGGTGTGAATGGAAACTGTGGGATTTTTGGGCCTATAATGGGTTGGGATATGGAATGACGGAAGTGCCCCTGATTGTTGCAATTCCGTGCCTTCTCGCCTCCGGAATACGGGGAAGCACACCATCTTCCGCTCACTTTGCGCACACGTTCTGAATGTGTCCCCTTTCCTTTTCTGCGCCACACAAATTAATTAATTCTCCACTTTTTTTTTTTATTATTTATTGGAGAAGATTCAAATGCTCAATCCCATCCGTTACCAGAAAAAGAAAAATTATATAGTAATTGACATTTCTTTTGTTCAAATATTGTAATTTTTTAAGGTAAGTAGCCTCTCTCTTTTTTTTTTTTAATTTAATCTTAGTTTTTATTTCCTAACTTATCTAAAAGGTTTAATAGTTCAAAAAGTCTTCGATTGCTTATCTGAAATAGATCTTTTACTTGTTCTTTCGTTTTAATTGAATTTTTATTTTCTAAAAATTTGAATAATTAAATTATTATTGTTAGTTCCATACTAATATCATTTAAAAGATGTTAAATATTAACTCGTGAGTTTTTTGAATTTTTAAATTTTTTTTTTAAATAAAACATCATAGGTCAAGTTAACATTGTGCATATAACAATAATAATGTGACGTGACATTTATATACAGGAAAAAGTGATTTATTTTTCTTGAATTTTCTAGAATAAAAGAAGTTAAAGATGTCCTTAATAACATTTTAAAATTTAATTCGGGTTATATAATAACAAAATCACACATATAACAAATTAACATGCTCTTATCAGTCGATTATTCAAAAGGTTTGGTCTATTTTTGAATCTTTTTCACCTTTTGTTTTCTTGCATGTGGATGAAATCTCCTTTCTCATTTTTTAGGAACACCTTTCACTTATCATATTCAAATCCATGAAAGAGTTAATCAATTTCATATTAAAATAAAAGTATTTAACAAATATCAAAGTACTCACTTCGATTTCTCTTCTATTTATTATCTATAATAAGTTGAGAAAGTTGATCAAATAAGTTGAAATGAAGTTTGGTGGAATGAGTTACTTTGAAATATATTGGATGATTAATCATCTTCTTCTTCTTCTTGGTTTTCCCAAAAGATCAAGCTTCAATTCGGGTTATGGGATGGTTCCCCTTACGTAAAGGAGGAGTTTTGTAAGTGGAATGATTAGTATTGTTGCACGCCTGTTGGAACCAGGTG